TATTTCCTTCAAAGCAGCTTGAACTTCTTCCTTCATCACCATAGGCTCTTGCTCAAATGTTATTTCATTAAATTCTTCTGTATCTGCTAATTCCTTTCTATACAATGACTCAGTATATTCCTTCCATCTTCTTTTAATACCTCCTGGATCATTTAATATTCTGCCTAAAGCATCCTTGGTTTTTTTTTTGTGTGTGTGTGTGTGTGTGTGCTATAAAGCACTGGGTAAATTTAAAAAGAAAATACCTGTTGCTGTTGACGCTCACTCCTGTTGGTCTTGTGTATTCTATGCAGAACAGTTCTCTACAGGGTTTTGAAGGCTGTGACCTTTTCATAAGGGTGCCAGGCCTTTCTTCCGAGACAAATTCCAACTGCTAACGAATTTGTGCTGATCAGGGACCTTTGTGAAAAGACGCAGAAGGGACTAGAGAATGAGGATCTGGTAAGAATTAGAACTTGAGCCAGAGTTATGCAAGTTCATAGATTTGTAGAGAATGAGACTTCCCCATGAGTAGGAATCCCGTCAGTTCCCCCCTCCCAAAAAGGCTCAAAGATTATGAAAGTCTTTGACATTTTAGAAGTGGAATTGAAAGAGGAAACCCTGAAAGTGGCTAACATAAAAGAAATGCAGACACTTTGCATTTTCACCATTTCAGAGCTCTCGGAATATAGTTGGGATGGGGATGCATGGGAGGAATTATTGATGGCTTATTTTCATTCCATATTCTTACTGTCTGACTCCCTCCAACTGAGGGTACTTTTTGAAAGGTTTTCTTTTTACAGCTGGAAGACTTGGCATGCTGTCAGCCAGGCAGCTCCCCTAGTCTGCGTCAGGATGTTACCTTCTTTGTATTTGTGCTGCTACTGACATTTGAGCAGTGACTTGATTATCTTAGAAGGAGCCAAGGCTGAGTTTCATGTTGCTTGGTCTGAAGTGAGGGATCCCACTGTCATTTCCTCATTTCACCCATTGTCTCATTTTATTAGTGATGCCTCTTCTGCTGAGAAAAGATGTTAGGGAAGCTTGGATAATTAACAGAAATCCTCCTTTATACCCATTCAACTATATTTAAAGCCAAAAGAATGCCTGAAAAAGTCTTTATTTGTACGAGAAACAGCTGCTTGCTTTTCTTAGGTGGCCTCCTACACTTGACAGTCAAAGGGTCTGGAGAGTCCTTGCCAAAAAGTTGTTTGTTTCCTCTAAAGCCTCTTGTGTTTCTTTCATTTCCATCTTTGAACCATACTCACCTGCTGCTTCCCCGGAGAAAGTCTGGCAGCAACTCTGAGCAGCAGTGACAGACTAAACAAACATGGTTGTAAGTGATCTTCCCGTAGCTGCCCCACTGAGGGCTCATGTGGGCAAATACTGGGTGCAAGGAGGCATTCTCATCCTCACCTCTTGAACTCTCACCTGAAAACCCACCTGTCACTCACTCTGGGAGATGGGATTTGGTTTCAAATCCATCATCTAGCTCCTTCCTGACCCAGAAACTATTCAGAAGCCACACTGGGGAAGCTAAAAAAGATTCGTAGCTGTTAAATAACGTGTATAGTCCTCCATCTCACACCCACACACACCTTTCCTTCTCTTTAGTTGAGATTTCTGATGGCTGTAGGTTGGTCCTATCCCTGATCTCTACCAATCCAGAGATGTTTTTACTCCCTGAAACAATATCTACAGATAAAACCAAAAACTCATTCAGTCAGGCCAGAACCAACCCATAGCTGCCTCTTTTCAGGGGAGCACTGCATGGTTTGGAATTGGGAAGGGAGTACATCAGGGTTGTATTCTCTTTCCATACCTGTTCTATATGCTGAGCAAATTATCTGAGAAGCTGGACCCTATGAAGAGTGTGGCGTCAGGATTGGAGGGAGACTCATCAATAACCTGTGTTAGGCAGATGACACAACCTTACTTGCTGAAAGTGAGAAGGACTTGAAGCACTTGTTGCAGAAGGTCAAGGAATGCAGCCTTCAGTATAGATTGCATCTCAATGTCAAGACAAAGATTCTTACCACTGGACCAATAGCCAGCATCATGATGGATGGAGAAGAGATTGAAACTGTCAACAGCTTCATCTTGCTTGGATCCACAACACCCTTGGTACAAGCATTCAAGAAATAAGGAGATGCATTGCACTGGAAATATCAATTAGAGACCTTTCCAAATTATTGAGGAATAGTGGTATCAGTTTGAAGACTAAGGTGCATCTGATTCAGGCCATAGTCTTTTCGATTACTAGCTATGCATCCAAAACTTAGTGAATAAGGATGACAGAAAAAGAAATGACGCCTTTTGAGCTGTGTTGTTGGAGAAGAGCACTAAACATCCCATGGACAGCCAAGAGAACAAATAGATATGTCTTAGAGAGAGTGTAGATGGAGTGCTTTTTGGAGGCAAGAATGATGAGGCTTCACCTCACATACTTTGGACATATTGCTAGGAGGGGCTATTCCTTGGAGAGGGACACGATGTTGGGAAGGGTGGAGCATTGGGAAAGGAGAGGAAGACCCTCAACCAGTTTGACTGACAGAGTGACTGCTGCAAAAGGACCTTTGTGTGTCAGGAAGTATGAGGTTGGAGCAGAACAGAACTGGGTTCAGATCTTTTGTTCATAGGGTCGCTATGAGTTGTACTCAAGTCCACAGCACCTAACAACAACAACAAAGCACAAGGGAAGGGATTGCCCATCTTTCTCAGAGCAGCTAGTGGACTTGAACTTCCTGCCTTTAGCTTGGCAGCACAATTCTTTACCCACTACACTAGGCCACCAGCTCTTCTAGCTCTCCATAATACTTCACATATAGTTTTCTTTTTAACTACTTAGTTTGGACCATTTAAGGGAAGACAGATAAAGGGGGTGTATAGGTGAGAGCAGTGAGATTAATAAGGCCTAAAGTCGTATGGGAATGACTAGCCTTAAGTCAGGCCCAGGTCTGGAAAGTGAAGAAGTTCGTAAGAAAAGGGACATGGGGGGCAGTCTGGATGCAGATGGTGCCATGTGAAAGGGTGCTGGATGCCCCGTCTGAGCCCCCCATTCCAGACTTAGTGCATTTCATAAAGAAGAGTCTTGAGGTTGGTAGGAATCCAATGAGCCTTCCTCAGTGCACCCTGTATCTGAAGGGGTCACTACGAGGATCTGGTTGACACTTCCTGGGGTCACTTGTCTCGGGTCAAAGAGCAGGCTGTTGATCCTGTGAGAAGACAACACTAGCTTGGGACTCTGACAAATTAGATTCATCGGCAGCCATTGTACTTAAAATAACTTTTCAAAGCTCTGTTACCACCTGCTGGTTGTTGGGAGGAAAAATGAGAAAATGTGCTTTAATGGCCCAGTCTAGACTCAGAGCAAGTGCTTAATAAATGGCACCACTACAGTTATATCCCAAAATCTGCACTGGCCTCATGCCTCTTGTATGTGAATAAAAGGAGAAACTTAGGTGTTGAATATGAGCCTGCAAGTCCTCAGCCTTCAGGGGAACAAGGCTGGACACAGGAGGGAAGCCTGCCATTTTCCTCCCGTCCCCAGAGCTGTACAACATTCCAGAATTCAGTCCTAAAGAAAGGCAGAAGAATAAAATGAAGTTTTATGCAACAGTGAATGAATTTTTTAAAAAATTAAAGAAGAAACTGGGGTGGTGTTGGGAAGAAAACGTGCAACAATGAAAAAATCCAACCTTTCTGTAAACTTTTGTTAAAATCACAATAAAAAAAAATTTTAAAGAAAATAAAATGAAGTGAGCAAGATCTGAGTAGTGCTCAAAAACAGGTCTTCATTGATTAAGTGTTTTCTCTTAAAAATGTTGCTCTCTTCACCTCCCTCTCCCTCCTCAGGGAAATGGCACACAGCCTACGCTCGGTTGTCCAAAACTCTTACTTGATGCTTTTAAATTTTTCTTTATTTAGACAGAAAAGACCAACTCTTTAAAAGTAAAATGCAATAAATAAATAAGTTAAGCATAGAGAACTGTCTGAAACTGACACTCCATCTTCCCTTTACCACCCCCACCCCCACCCCATTTTCTTTTCCCTAGAACCTTTTCCTAAAGAAAATGATCAAGTAATAAACCCTTTCAGCCCTCCCCTCATCCCTCATCCCAAATACCCAGTTACTCCCAAAAAACCAAAGGGCAAAATCAAGAGGAAAAAAAAAATCCAAGGGGAACATTGTCTAAACTCCCAGAAAGAGAGATGGCAGCGTCCGGGCCGGGCCGGCTGGATAACGCACGGGTGGTAGTGGTATTTACACGGAGGGGACCAGCAGAGACTGTAAACATTTTTAGGGTTCAGGGGGAGGTCTTTCCTCATGAGAGGAGGAGGGTCTCTGTGGCTGATGGGTAGAGAGGCAGCCCTCAGGGCTCCCCACACCCTCCTTAGAAGGGTGCCTTTGGAGGAGGCAGTGAGCTTTAGGGCTGGGAGCCCGGGGTTCAGGGATGTCCTACCTCTAGTTGAGGGTAGAGGGAGTGTGAGATCCAGCTTCTGAAAAACCCCTAATATGGGGAAGAGTCTGGGGCGCTGTGGGGTGGGAAGTATGGGAGCCCCAGATGCCCTCATGGGTGGAGCAGGCCCACCATGGGGAGGCAAGTGGTACGAAAACTGGGCCGAAGGCCCGTCAGGAGCCCAGCAGAAGGCAGATACCCCAGAGCCTACTCTCCTATCCCTTGCTCCCTCACAAAAGCCAAAAAAGGTGCCTGGAGGAAATGGGCCCTTGAAGCCTCGAAGCATACTATGGCCCTTCAGGAGAGGGAGTGGATGGGTGTCCTGTTCCCCCAGGGCCGGGAAGCAGCTTTGCCTCAGAGCCAAATCAAGGCCCAGGGCAGATGTGCAGAGGGCCAGTTGTGGGAAAAGGGGTGTGGTGCCCCTTCTTCTGGTATCTCCAGACCTGTGAAGGAAGGAAACATGGGTGAAGCAGTAGGGACGACGGCTATGGGGGCAGGTCAGAGGGGAGAGGTAGCTAGGGCTGGGTGCTAGGGTGTAGGATGGGGCTGCCTGGGGAGGCAGGTCCTCAGAAAGGCCTCAGTCCAAACTGAGTGAGCAAGGGCTGTGGGTGGGATGGGGTGGGGAGTGCAAAAGATACAAGAAACCAAAAGGTACTAGAAAGGAAATATTCAAACAGCCCATGGGGAAAATAAAGACAGGAGAGACACAGAGGCCTACAGGGAAGGAGAAGCAAAGAAATGAGACAACAAACAGGCAGGCAGAGATCATCACTAAGAGGAGGGAGTGCAGTGTCAGACAACTGGGACAGGAGAAAGGGCACTTCCTCAAAAGGAAGGAAGGGCCAAGGCAGACCCCAGGGGGCCAGGGCAGACCTCAGGGCCAGGCCAGGAAGGCTGGCTCAGGGCAGACCCCAGGGCGAGGCCGCTGGGCCTGTAGCAAAGACTGCCCCAGCCTCTGGACAGAGCTCACTTTCCTTTTTGGAAAGGAACAAAGCAAGAGAAATGCACAGAACACAGACCACAGTCACCAACCACTGTTGACCAAGCACATCCCGCGAGCTACCCCCGGCCCTGACCCTGGGCTGGGGGGGTGCCTCCCGCCATGGCCCCCTCCCCAAATAACAAACAATCGGCTCCAAAGACAACACGCTCGTTCCATGCAACTTACAGGGGCCCGGAGCAGGGGTCCGGGGATGGGGGCTTCGGCCGACAATGGACACGGGCCCTGGGCGGGGGGGCCCCCAGGGTGGGGGGAGTTAAGCAGCCAGGATTGGGGGGGAAAGGGGGAGAAACAGAAATGTGGGTATTGTTCTTGGGTTGTGTTTCTCAGGGTTTTGGTCCAAAGGAGATTAAACAATAAAAAAGTAACCAAAGCTGACATTGGTGGCCATGCGGTTGGGGTTGGGAGGTGACGGGCTTTGGGGGGAGGACCTGACACATGACGTTCACAGCAATCTAACACTTCAACCTCCTGAATGAGAGCTACTCCCAAGACCCGGAAGATTAGATTCCTCCAGTCTGTTCTGTGACTCACTCCTGTCCCCTGAATCCACTACTAAATAAGGACAGTCACCCACGACGATGACAAGGAGGACCTGATGTCCCCACTTCCTAGGAGAACAGAATCCAAGAGCCAGTGATTCCAAGGGCCCTCTAGTACCCTGAACCAGCCCCCTTGATTCCCAAATCCTGCTTCTCTAATTTCATTCCAACCCAAAGGAAAACCAGAAAGAGACACATAGACACATGGACACTGACCAGACACACAGACCAGATATTGGGAGAAGGGTTAGGGGAGGCTTTAGGGAGCAGACACAGATGCGTAGACTTGGCTCCCTCTGGGGTCAGAAAAGTGTGTGTGTGTGTGTGTGTGTGTGTGTGTGTGTGCGCGCGCACGCACGCATGTGTGTGAGAAAGAGAAAATTAGTGGAAGGAGATGCCTCACACTGTGCCCGGAGTCAAAGTGGGGGTGAGTTGGGCATCCCTGAGGGTGGTGAGGATGGGGTGGGACAATCCAGGTGAAGGCCCTGGCAGTGGTGTGCAAGGTAGGGGACAAGGAGCAGTGCTGGGGAGGCACAGGGTGGAGCAGGACCCACCTGGGGGCCCTCAGTAGGGCCGGTTGGCATCCTTGGGTCGCTTTAGCTGCACTTTGAGACGCTTCATGCCGATCTGGAAACCATTCATGGCCTGGATGGCAGCCTGGGCACTGGCTGGATTGTCGAAACTCACAAAGCCTGAGGTGAGTGAGACATAAGGCCCAGGGCTGAGGCCTGCCTCCTTGGCCCAGCACCACCCCACTATGTATCCCAATGCCTGGCTGTGCCACTGGCACTGGAGACATCAGAATGCTCACATGAATGCTCTTGCCTGCATTCTTGCTGGGCGGCCCCTTTCTCAGTCTTAGACCTGCCTTTTGAAAACTTCAACTTCCAGGCCTCGGATGACTTCTGAAGCAGCAAGGATAAGACCCGCTGCCTTTCTTCCCTGAAGAGGCCATTCAGAGATGCAATGACAGCTAAACCACCCTCTCTCAAACTGCCTTTGGAATCCAGCTGCCTCTGCCTCCCAAAGTCCCGAGATCTATTTCTGGACTTCTGGCACACGAGTGTGGAAGAGCCAAGTATGGCCAGTCTTGGGGGAGAAAACAGAGCTTGATTTTCTGGAGGAAGAGACGGCTGAGGGCAGTAACTGCTGAGGGATGTTGTATGTCAAGAGTAGTTCTTTCACATTCCTGAAAATGTATTTCAAGTACTGGGACCCATTGGAATGTGCCTTCAAATCTATCAGACCTTGTCCTAATTTCAGGGCACTCAGACGGGTAATATAGTTGGTGGCATGGTGGGCTGCTAACTGAAAGGTCAGTGGTTCAAGTCTGCCAACTACGCCAAGAGAGAAAGATGGATTGTCTCCTCCCACTAAGATTTACAGCCTCAGAAACCCCATGGAGGTTGGTGGGCCACTGTGAATCTCAATTGACTCAGAGGCTGAGTGGGTTTGATTTAGGTTGTTCTAATTTGGAATTTGGGGTGGGGGGAAGTGTTGTATTTCATCCTTTTGGATCATCATATCCTTACCAAAACATTTGCTCTGATTGGTGGCCCGGTCAACAAAGACTTTGGCTGAGATGACATGACCAAAGGGGACAAACATCTGGAGGATCTCTGAGTCCGTGAACTCCTGGGGCAGGTGGTAGATAAAGATGTTGCAGCCATCGGGGCCTGGGAGGCAGCAAGAACAAAGGAGGCTGTCAGTGATGGCACCGCCATAGGCTCAAGGAAGGAGGGTCCCAGGAAAAGCAGATCCAGGGACGACTTCTCATCCCCTCTCCCAAACACACATGCCAGCTTCCAGACACCTCATCCCTAGTTGTGTGACAAGAAATGGCCTTGGAACCAAGAGCTCTGAGCCCCCCAAAAGGGCATCCCTATTCCCGGAAGCCCTCATGCCCCCAGCAGCTGGCACCTTCTCGTTGCTGCTGCTGCTGTTGCTGCTGCTGCTGCTGTTGCTGCTGCTGCGGGGGTGGAGGGGGCTGCTGGGCGACCAGGGCCGGAGGCTGCGGAAATGCAGGCGCAACCAGGCTGTAGGCTGCTGGGTAGGCTGCTGGGGGAGGGGAAAACAGAGAGCGCCAATGGGGCTCCTACAATTCCCCTTGATCCCTGGGTCCTCTCAGCAAACCCTGACTCACTTCCTCTAGCCCACCTGGGTGCACAGGGCTGACAGGTTGGCCCCTGGTATGTCCATCCTCACAAGTACCGCTTGTCAGTAAATCTGAGGTGGTAGTTGACAGGGAGCCAAGAAGCCCAGCCCCAATTTCTGGGCCTCTTTTTCTCTGACATCCCCCCTTGCCCACTCCTCCCACCTGTGGGGGGTGGCGGGCCGCACCTGTGTAGTGCTGCATCCCTGCGTAGGCCTGCTGCAGGGGGTCCACAGGGGCTGCGGGGCTCTGGGCTGAGAAGAGAGGGACACGGATGGTGAAAGAGGGGCTAGGAGGCCTCCCGCAGCCCCAGAAGCCCCTCTCTGAGCAGATATATGGAAGAGAGCCACACCTGAGCGCAGGGTGTGGCATGAGAGTGATTGCACAGAGCAGTTGGGGAGAGGTGGGGACACCACTGTTTGCAGAGTGTGAGTCCCTGCTCCACCTCTGACTGGCTGTGAGTCCCTGGACAAGTCCCTTCTCCCTAAGCCTCAGTGTCCTTGACCAGAAGCGGGAAGGAACAGCCCTGCCCTTGACAAGGAGGCTGTAACTCTGGATTCCAACAGAGGAAGGGTGTCCTATCAGCTATTAAAGGAAATGGGAATAGTGGCCAGGGGAGGTGGACAGAAGAGACCCCCACCTGGGTAGGGATGTACCCCGTTGGGATACAGAGCATCAGGGGCAGGCTGCCCAGTAGGCTGGGTGGGCACCGGGCTGTAGCCATTGACGCCCAGGGCAGCAGGGATGGCAGAGACGGGCGTGGCAGCAATGGCAGGAGGGGTGCTGGTTCCTGGTGAGGAGAAAGCCAGACAGCAGAGAGCAGCGTGCGTGCACACACACACAAACACATAGACACAGATGTAAAGAGGACAAGTCAGCAAGGCTGAGGCCAAAGGGGAGGAAGCAGACCACTCTCAGACCCTTTCCCAGCCCCTCCTGAACCCCATGGCTCCCTCTCTCCATCCTCCCATGCCAAAGCCCCCTGCTCTGCCCCAGCCACTCAGAGCCCCACCCACGCAGGCCCAAGCCTCACCTGAGGATGGAGTGATAGGGGTGGCGATGAGGCCATTGGCATTGATGGCGGCCATGTGCTGCATCTGCACTGCAGCCATGGTGGCCATGGGGCTGAGGTAGGCACTGTGAGCCGCTACCAGGGCTGCCTGCTGCTGCATCAGCTGAGAAAGAGCAACGGGAAGAGAGAGGGTGGGCCCAGGCCCCCTGCTCCCTGGGCTGGCCACTCAGACCAGAGAAAGGAGTGTGGGGAGAGAGACAGAGATGGGTTAGGCCCAAGACCAGGGGGCAGTGCTCACAGCCTGGGTGTAGGCGCTGTAGGCTCCAAACTGGAGGGCGATGGGGCTGAACATGCCCAACTGCGTGGCCACCTGCTGCATCCGGCGGAGGCCTCGCTCCTTCTCCGTGTCAGCAAACTTCACCACCAGGCTGGACGAGGCACCCTGGGCACAGCCCCACAGGCAGGCATGTAACAGAGTCAGGGTCTTCCCTCCCCAGGGGCCTCAGCCCTTGCCTCAGTGCTGTCATTTCCCAAGGGCAGCCATTGCCTGTTCTGTGTCAGAGAGGTCTAACCCTTGCCCAATGTGCCAGCAAGTGTAAGAAGCTAGTAAAAGTGTGGAGATGTGAAGACATGTGCCAGAAGAGTGAACCAAAAAGGCAAACCAATTGCTTTTTAGTCAACTCCAACTCAAGGCAACCCCCAGTGCTTCAGAGTAGAACTGTGCTCCAGCTGGGGTTTGTTTTTATTTTTTGCATGTGGATCCTCCAGGCCCTTCTTCCAAGGCACCTCTGGATGGACTTGAACCTCCAACCTCTTGGTTAGCAGCCAAGTGTTTAACTGCTTACATCACCCAGGATGCCCTTGAAAAAGTGAAAGGTCCATGGAAGCGGAAAGGCGTCAGGATTCATGTGGCTTCTGAGCTGGGCATCATCCCCTCCCCTCAGTGAATCAGCAGCAGCAAATGTTGAACTGGCTCTGCCTGGAGGCTGCCTTCTTTTCACCAAGACGCCCGCCCCCACACCTCAGCCCTCATTGTGTGCTCAGAGAAAGCCGCCTCAAATCTAAATACAAGCCTGAACCAAATAAAAACCAAATTGGAACATTCGCCAGGATTATCCTCTGATCTCAGAGCTAGAAGGGGTGTAAAGTCATCTATTGCCAGTCTCTGAATCCTGCTCAGTGCTTGGCCAGCCCCTGCTGGGGAACGCTGGTATCCCCAGTCTAGTCCTGTTTGAAAGGTTTGCCTGGGTGGGGGTTCTCCACAAGTGAGGTCAGCTGGCTCAGGTGCTAAAGCGGAGGGAGTGTGGGCCCCTGGGCAAGTGTCCTGATACCCTCATTAATGGGGGCAGGGGGATATAGGAAGGAGGGAAAAGGGACGGACTGACTAGGAGATGATAAAGGATGAAGGAGGCTGGAGAAGAGGATGAAGGAACTCAGACTCAGATGAGGGATAGATGTGGCGTGGGAGGCAGGAGATATTACTTAAAATATGAGGATGTCCCTGAGCAGTGTGGGTCTTCTACTAGGACATTCTTTTCAAATAAGCTCAAACGCTCTATTCTAGTTGGTGGTCTCTTTCTGGGCAGGGGCCTGGCCCTGGGCTGGAACAGCCTGGGTGGGGGTGGGGGAGCAAGCACTCACCGGCAAGGTCCGGCTACTGTGGAGGGTGTTGATGGCCGCCTGGGCCTCAGCATGGGTCTGGAACTTTACAAAGGCACAGCCTAGAGAGGTCAAGGTCAAAGTGGAGAGGGTGAAGAATTTCCAGAGTCCTTGTTGCCCAGGAAGCCAGTGAAGCCAAAGGGCCCAATGTGGGAAGTGGGGGCTGGCCTACCTTTGCTGGTGCCATCTGGGCCTCGGAGCACAGTGCACTCGTCTATGGTCCCAAAAGGCTCAAACATCTTCCGCACGTCCTCATCTGTCTGCTGCTTCCCTAGCATCCCCACGAAGAGCTTCCGGTCTTCTAGGGGTTTGGGGTACAGGAACAAGGGCCTCTTGGTTGTTTCCTCAGCCCTGTCCTGCTTGAGATGGGCCTGAACCTTCACCTTCAACTCTTTCTTGGATGTCAGGACACTCCCTCCACCCCAGTGACCAATGGCTATCCTGTGTGAAAGGGGTGATGTGTGCCCATGTTCCAGCACAGGAGGACTTGATTCCTATTGGAATCTCAGTTTTGCCATTTTGACAATGAACCAGGTTGCACCTCCTTTCTGGCCACAGTGACCCCCACCCCACCCTTTGCCTTCACTGGGAGCCTTCCAGGATTGTCAGCTCTTCTCTGAGGAAAGCTTGTCCCTCCGCTACTCCCAGCCCTGAGCATGGGGATAGGGGGACTGAGTCCCAAGGTACAGACAGAACCTACCTCCTCTGTTCTCGCTGTCGGCTGGTTTGACCTGGATTGGCCTGTTCATCTAAAGGAGAGAAAAGAAGTTTGCAACTGGGGGCTCCCTGGGACCCACCCATAGGAAGGCCATGGGAGCAAGCCCAGGCCCAGGCACTTTCCCCAGCAAGCTAGGTTTCTGGGGGAAAGGAAGGGAGGGGGTCTATTCTTTAGGATTAGGACCCAAAGGGATTAGAGGCTGTGGAAGGCAAGGAAGTCAGAGAGGATGCTCATCGAATTAACTCCAGGCTCAGACTGGGCCCAAGGAGACTTGGTCCATGAAGGAGAGGTGCTGTATCCTTAAAGGGGGTAGAGGACTGGCCAGAGGATCTCGGTCCTGAAATAGAGCTCAATCAAGGGTTGTTGACTCAAAGTAGAAGCAACTAAGGTCACTCCATGAAGGAGCCCCAAGGCGTAGCCGACACTGAGGGAGTCCCCACAGATACCCCAGCTCCCTTCTGACCCCTAGAGGTGTGTCTGCTTCTCCCTCTGCCCCTTTTCACCCCTTGACCCCAGGGGGAAGGCACTCGGGCCGCACAAAGGGAGCAGATGCCCAGTCTCCGTGGCAACGGGAGAATGCGCGCCATGGCAACCGCCCACTCAGCCTGATTTATCCGTCCCCGTCGTCCTGGCGACCGTGGTGACGTCATCACTTCTGTCTCTCCACACACCCAGAGAGGGAGAAGGAGTGTTGGGGGTGGGGGGGGGTGGGAACAGGGTAGGCTGGGGGTGGAGGACTTGGTGGGGGCTGGGAGGTGGGGGAGGGGCCGGAACCGCTTCATTTTCTGGAGGGAGGCCTGCAGGGGCCGGTGCGTCCTTGGCGACTCTCTGGAGCAGAGGCCGCTCTAGAGGAGATTCTGTCCCACGCTCTTTAGCAATTCTCCTTGTACATGTAAGTCTCCCAGAGCTCTAATCTCTCCCCAACCCCACAGGATCTCCCTTTGTTGTGAGAAATTTGCCGTTCCACTCTGCATATTCTCCTTTGGTGTAAGGTCCTAAATCAGAGTGTGGAGCATCGTAGGGACTAGAGGAGAAGAAGGGCTGAATCTTTGATGTCTTATATTATTTTGGTACTGAGAATTCTGACCCTTGGAGCCACCCTTGGTCACCCCACTTATCTGATGGTGGGGCAGGCAGTCTTACTTTCAGTGGCCTAGAGTAAATAAATAAACATCTCGCTCCAATCTGAGGGTGAAACTAAAGGTACTCTAGAAAGACACTGGAGACCTAAGTTCAAAGACAATCCTGCCACTTGCTAACTGGGTGACCTGGGACAAGTCACTTCTCTCTCCAGCCTCAGTCTCCTCATTTGTAAAACTATGGGTGGATCAGGCATCTCTAGTGAATGTCCTTCAGCTCCAGCACTCAGTGTTTGGAATCTCCTGTGCCATCCCTGAACATGGAGAAGTGATGGCTGCCCCTTCCGCCTTGGTCCCTTCCCCACACATCACATGACAGTGGTCACTGGTCACTATCTGATCAGCTCAGCCTCACCTCAGCTGAGGCTGGTTCCCTCAAGCCAGATCCCCAGGTCTCTGGATCTGAGAGCAGCTGGTGGGGGAGGGAGATTGTCCCCCCCCCCCCCCAGCCAATCTGCCCTCAGCTTTATCTCCCACCAATCTGGGATTATCCATCTGAGGTTAAATCTCTTTAGCAGCTTCTATGTGTGTGTATTTGTATCTGCCTGCAGGAAGTAAGGGGATTCCTGTGCAAGGCAGGAATGGGGGTCGGACATTCAGGGCCTCTGGGTCTTTCACACATCCTTTCCTCCTGTGTTCTGACCAAGGTCCTCCGAAGTGCTCTCAGAGACACCCCTCAGAGTCACTCTGACCGTGATTATGGAAACAAAACTAGGGCTTCCGGTTGAATCAGGCTCTGGGCAATTCTCATGCTTGGCATTAAACCCCCAAGTTCCCTGGGGATTTGCTATTCCAGCTGGAGGTGGGGAACCTGGGTATTGGAAAGACAGGATGCTAGTCCCCCCACATCCACAAGCTTCCAGGCACAAAAAATAACATACCAAGAAATTGCCACAGTTTACATGAATTGAGCGACACACAAGAGTGTATAGATCCCTGCCGATGGCAGGTCTCCACACTGTCACAGACAGCCTGTCTTGGTGCCCCAGTGGTCCCCCCTTCTCAGCCTGGTACTTCCTGTGGGAAGCCCAGTCTTTATTAACTCAGCTTGGGCACACCTGCCCCCTCCCCTGAGTCCAGCTGTGCACTGTTTACCTGGCAACCAGGCTCCAGGCGCCTCTCTTCCCTAACTACCACCCGCCGGGTGATAAGCCACCCCAAGGGCCTCCCAATGAAGAAAGGGCTATTTATACCTCAAGAAAGTATTACTATGATCCCCCCAATTTTAAAGTCTGCATATTGTCACCAACAGCAAATATCTCAATTCCAAGAAGAGTCCATCATTCCTACTAAACTGAATTCTCCCGAGGACACAGGTCCAGCTCCCCGCCATCCTGGCTTCAGACATGTGTCCCGTATCTGGACCACACACACATTCCATCCATGGGGCCAGAGTCCATCAGCTCAACGGCACACAGTTAGCAAAGGCCTAAGTTCCCAGAGTGGGCTTTTGGTCCAGGTATAGGGGGCAAAGTGGGCAGGGGTGGGGAGGGCCATCATCACCACTGTCTCCAAGAGGCCTGTTCTCAGGACAAATCCAGGTGCCTCTGGCAGAGCCATTCCTGGGAACTCTTGGAGGAGGCAAAAGGCAAGGGGACTCACTCAGCAGCTACAGTTCTCTCTGCAGCCTTAGCAGTCCCCTGACATGATGGCACCTTCTAGATTCTGGGGTGACAAGATGGGGAGAGAGGAGTGCGAGATAAATGCCGATGCTTTCATAATAATAATAATAATAATTTGTAGTAGGAAGGCATGAAGATTAGACAGTAGGAATAACTTCCCAGTACACACATGTACATGAGCTGATACACTATGCATGAGCGCATGCACGCGTACACACACACACACACACACACACACACACACACACACACACACACACAGAGCATCTGAGGGCAAACAATGCAGTCATGGAGAAGGGCAGGTGGCAGGAGAAAAGACCTGGGGGATACAAAAGGCCAGGCAGAACTTGGTCACAGACAGCTGCTCCCCCAGACTACCCTGGGTCTGCTCCCCAAGTACCCAAGATGAGGGCCCCCCTTGGAACATGGGACCCTTCATTTCCTACTGGAAGTCCTATCAGGTCCTTCTGGACTCTGTCCCCTGGGACAACAGCCTAAGCGGAGAACTCAGATCACCTGGGAGCTCTGGGGCTGGGCTAGACAATCATTAACCAGGACACCCTTCTCCCTCACACCCATCCTACCCTGTGTTTACTCAGGAAGGGGAGACAGCAGCTCTCCTCACCCAGAATGCCTGAGTGATTTGGGCAGCCTGCAGAGGATGCCCCAGCTGGCAAGTGTAGCCCCGGGGCACATGCCCATCCCAGGCCATCTCTCACGTCCCAATCTCCCTCTCTCTGTCTAGCTTTCCCCTTGACTCACTCTGGTTTCTGAAAGGGCTCTGAAACAGAGAGACAGAAAAAGAAGAAATAGCCATGGAGAGAAAAACTTGATTAGTGATGGGCCTTCACAGTGCAAAGGAAGAAAAAAGGAAAAGTGGAGACATGATGGGAAGTCGTGCTCACCCACACACGCCTGGCACGTCAGAGATGCCCACATGCGGACGTGCACGCACACATGTGCTCTGCTCCCTTAGACACATCACACACACACACACACACACACACACACACACACACGAGCTGCTCACACACACGCATGCCCAGGCCTTTTACTCTGTGGGGCAATGCCTATTCTGGGAAGTTTCACCACCAACTGGGATAAAACAACAAGGCTTGAGGAGGATTGGCATTGAGGTTTCCATCCCAGCTGCTGCCAGTGGAGAATCCATGTCATTCTCCATCTCCCACAAGGAGGAGGGAGCCGAGACTATGACAGATGTATCTCCAGCACCCAGCCTGCACTTAGCAAATGTTTACTGAAGGGATGGATTCAAGTTAGGCTCCAGGAAGTACTTCCTGGGGCTCACAGCCCTGGAGACAAGAGAAACAAAAATGGCACAAGGAAAGAGGCCATTCTTTCTTCCTGATGAAGGTCTTTATTCCTACCCTTACTTGCCAGCCCTCACCTGGGAGCCTGGGACGGTCTGCAGGGTTGGCTGGGAAGAAGAAACAATGAGCCGTGACCTTGCGGGAAGGAAGTAGCTCCTGGGAGGATGCCACTGGGCACTTGGTGGGCTAGGCTGGGTCTCCACAGTGACATGTGTCCTGCCCTTGCCCCTTCTCCACCCTAATGCATGACCCTGTTTTGCAAGCTCTTCCTGGGAGACACAAGGTGAGCCTGGTTTGGGCTCAGAATCCAAATCCAGCCCAGAGATGTCAGCCCAGCAGGTCCCAGCTGCTCATTGACAGGGCAGCGGGCACAGCCTCCCATTACACAGACTCCCTTCCAGAGCCACAAATATGAGCCTTCATTGCCTCCTTCTCACCCTGATCTGCATCTGGTATCCCAGGTCTTCTTTCCAAGACTCCTACACCAAGGAAAACCTCTAAGAGCTGCCCACAGGTAGATGGGGAAGTGGGGAAGGGACTCTATCTGCAATGGTTGAACTGTTCAGTGGTTTTCCCTTCTATCCGGGCAAGAAGAAATGCCTGCATCTACAGCAAGGAAGGTAGATGCTACAAAGAGAAGGACTTCTTGAGGAGAAGAAGTAGAACAGATGTGGAAGTTCCCTGCCACCTCTCAGGCCCTTTCCGGCCCCTCATCCTGCAAAGGCCGAGACTCACCCCTGGCAGTGTCTTCTGTTCGTGCAGGGCACTCTGGGCCTTCAGGGCTGAATCGCGGGCACAGTAGGTCAGGAAGGCACATCCTGAAGAGGGTACAGCGGCAAAGATGGGGTGGGGTATGAGTCCTCAGACTCCCCACTAAAAGGCTCCCTCCTGAAGAGACTGAGGACTGGAAAGCCCTTCCCTCTGGCCATCTCCACGTGCTGAGGCAATAGCGGAGCTGGGAAAGAGAGGAGACATCCAAGCCCACCCAAAGGGGCAGAGGCTTGGAGGCCTGACAGGAGGGGGTGACGGAGGAGAGAGATCACCATCATCGGAGCTCTCAGCTGTGCAGAGTTGAGGCTTTGTGTGTGGGGAGGATCAGGGGCATGTGATCACCAGACAAGTGGGTTTGCTGCCCTCTTCTCTCCTCCTCATTTGGTCACCTTTCCCCTTCCTCCCTCCTTTCCTCCTTCACTTCCCTCCATCTTGGTCACCGGGACCCACTCCTCTCTCATTTTCCCTGTTTCTTCATCTACTGCCCGCTCTACTCTATGGGAGGCAGGTGGGAAGTAAAGGGTGGAGGTGGAAGGGGAGAAGTGAAAGCTTAGTTGGAAGTGCCTCTGCTCTAGGTCCTGTGGCAAGGGGAGAATTGGGGAACCCCTGTCCCCATCGTGCCTAGGGGGCTCTCCAGGTCCTGACCCCAGGTCCTGGGGCTTTGATCTCGGCACCGTGCAGCCCAGTCAGGTCTTGGATAGGCCTGGGAAGCATTGGCTTCTGGCCCTAGCTCCCCTTACCCTCTTGGCCCCCACATTTCCCAGATCTTGACTAGTCTCTGCCCTGTCCTTTGCTTCTCAAGCTCTTCTCTGTAGCCCTGAGCTGCCTGGCCCAATTCATCTCCACACACTCTGAATTAAGCACCTGACCCAGTGTCCTGACCACCATCCCAACACCGCCTGACATAACTGAGATTTTAATTCTCACACAACACATAACACTCTCTCTTCTCCCTCCCACCCCCCTTTCTCTCTCCAGCATCTCTTCTCCCAACCAGCTCCCTTCCTAGCTTGTTTCTCCTTTCTCTCCCAGATCACCTCATGACATAAACTCCACCATCTCTGGGGTTCCTTGACAACATTTCGCCCCAAAGAGATTCTCCTCCATCCACACTCCCCAACCCCTGAACTCCTTCTCCTTCCATAGTAGCCCAGCAAAGCCACTCCAACCCCCCAGCCTGGCTTTTTCTCTCCTCTCCTCTGAGGGTCCACCCTCTGAAAGCCCCTTCAGCCTGGCCTGACCCCTCACCCTTGTGCAGCCCAGTGTACTTGTCCTTGATGACAGTCAGCTCGAAGATCCGACCAAACTGTTCGAAGATGGGCTTCAGGTCCTTTTCCTCCAGATGCCTCGGGATCTGCCCCACAAATAGCTTGATGGCATCCGGCTCCTTCATTGGGGCGGCCCAGGAGGAGGGGCCGAGGGGAGCGGGGAGAAGCCCAAAGGCCAGGGGGAGCTGCCTCTCAAGAGGGAAGTGGTGGGGGCCGGGGGCACAGCCGGGGCTGGCTTTCCCGTAGGCCCCCAACCACACTGCTGAGCAGAGGGGCGGCTCTTCACACAAAGGAGGCCGAGGGAGTTGAGGGCTAGGGGTCAGGGGGCTAGGCAGACGCTGTCATGCCACCAGGGGGCATAGCCCAAACAAGATCTCCCTCCCAGAGATTTGGCAAATATCCCAGGATGGGGGTCAGTTGTGGCCAAGATCTGGAGGGTCAGGATGGTAGCAAGGGCTGAGGAGTACAAGACTGGAAACTGGGGGCTGAGATGAGAGCTGGAGGTCGGGAAAAGAGCCGGAGGAGGGCGGTTGGGATGGGGGCTGAGGGGTTATGGGCCTGATATAGTTGCCAGCAGCTTCAGTGAGGGGCCCACTCCTGATGTGGGGCAGGTGGATCTCTCGTTGGCTTCCCCTGGAAGACACCTCCCCTGTGGCTGATCCTTCTGCTGGGTCCGAAGATCCCTGATGCCAGATGCTTGATCTCTGATGGCGGCAGGGCTCCGGGGGTCCCTTCAGCCCTGCCGCCCCCCTTCAGGTCCTCCCCTTAGCCCCCCTCCCACCCCACCCCGGGTCTGGGCTGCTGCTGGCTGCACCCGGCGCTGAGGCTGCCTGCTTTCCCGGTCACCTGGGTCCCGGAGCTCTGCTCTCTGGCCGCGCTCTCCTCAACAAAAACCTCCCCCCTCCACACCCCTCTCCCCACTCCCACCTCCTTTCCCCTGACATCAGTGATGTCAGTCTCAGGGGTGGAATACAAATTCTCTACCCTGGAGAGGGACGCACAATCCAGGCAGGAGCCACGCCCTCTTTCTATCTCCAACCTCCCCGGCTCCCCCTTCCCACCCCCAGAAGAGCAGCTGGTCCTGTTGGTAATAACCCTTCCCCTATCTTACTCCCAATCAGAAGTTGGGCAAGGCGCTAGGATGGAGAATTTACAGAGGAGCCCTTAGGTGGGGTCCATTGTTCCGGGGGCTGGAGCTGTCCCCGGTGCTGGAAGAGAAGACCCAGGAGAGGGGCGCTGGGGGGAACCCGAGAGGGGAGCCCAGCATCCAGGGCCTGCGAGAGGGGAGCCTAGGAAAGAATCTGGGGAGAGAGAAACTATAATAACAGATGGGCAGGTTGAGGGAGAAGGAGGGAGTAGAAGAAGAGGGAAGCAGATCGTAGAGCCTGAGGGGAAAGGGCAGAAGGGATGGGGAGGAGAGAGGGTGAGGTGAGTCCGGAGAGGAGCGATAGATTTTCCAGAAAAGGCACGAAGGAAAACGAAAGCTTTCTGGCATTTGCCGACTCCCCCTTCTCGCCTTCTGGAGGGTTTGTGTGTATGAATGCGTGGGCAAGGAGGCGGCGACAGCGACGAGGCGAGTGTTTGTCTTGTAAGCTCCTTGAAGACCAGAGCACCGGTTAATTCAACATTTCATCGTTGGCAGTGTCTAGCACAATGTCTTGCTCCTTCGTAGAAGGCGCTTAACAAGTATTTCTGGAATAAACAGTTCGTGCAAAGAACCTTTTGACAAGAAAAGATTCCTGACTCCTTCCTGGGGAATCATCACAGCTGTCAACTCCCCTTCAAGGCAAAGGAAACCCAATTATTCTCGCTTACCCCCTCGGCTCAGTTCATTTGAGTGGGATTCTGTAATTGAGTCAAACAGCAAAGATGGATGGAGGGAGCACATTTGGGGACCACTACTCCCCTAAAGGAATCTCTGGTGGCCTACCGGCAAGAAGTTGCACTGCAATCTCAAAGGCACATGGTTCAAATCCACCAGCTGCTCCAAGGGAGAAAGATATGCAGTCTCCTCCCATTTGATTCACTGCCTCTGAAAACCCGCTGGAGGATCAGCCATGGGTCAGTTCCAACTTCCAACTCCACAGCACACAACTCCCCTAAACAGTACTTTGGATGATCAGCTGCTCCCTAACCTGAGGGAAGTTAACCCCTCCCCGCCAGGCTCATACCTGCCCCCTCAAACATGGTTATGACTAGGGGTCCTCAGCAGCTGCACCCCTCTTCTTCTACAAAGTACTCAGTGGCTGGGATTCCCTGTCATTTCCCCTTCACCCCAAAATGGAGCTGACAGAGACACGGTCATCTCTGAAATATGTCCCCACTGGCCATTGCCCAGCTCTCATGGCAGACAGGTTCCTCTTCGAGAAGAGAAATAATAATATCAGCTAGCACTTAAATGGTACATTAGGTGTCCCAGGTATGTTGTTCCAAACGCTTTATATTTCCTAACTCATTTAATCCTCACCACAACCTAATGAAGCAGATTCAAATAAAGATGAGGAAACCAAGGCCCAAAGAGATCAAACAACTTGTCTAAGGTCATGCAACTAGTAATAAATTATTCAGCTGAGAGTAGAGCCCCAGCAGTCTGACTTGGGTCCACACATTTCAACTCTTACATCAAACGGTCCTCTTGGAAGGGGTGGAAGATGTGCTTATGCCTAGTTTCCTTTCTTCTTCTGCTATCTTCCTGTGAAGGCTGCATGAGTAGCAGTCCTTTCTGAGGCTTAATTGCTTTTTGACCACACTCCATCCTTTTCAGCCTACATTTCTGTGGTCTGGAACCATGTTCTGCAGAAGTGTATGCTTGAGTGTGTGTGTGTGTGTGTGTGTGTGTGTGTGTGTGTGTGTGTGTGACAGTATGGATGTCTAGATCTTCCTATAAGTTCCCTAAAAATGGTGAGGTCAAGAAAGGGAGAGGACTGTATACTGGATGGCCAGAAGATTTAAAGGCAGAGCCAGGGAATCAAGAAGTATGAACACATCTGGAAAGTAACTTTCCACTCACCTGCCCCACCCCCATGACTCCTTTCTTGCCTTCTAATCTGATCTTGGTATTTATGGAGATGCTAAACAGATCATGCCCTCTGAGGATGGAGCCTGGGAAGACCCTACAGCCCTGTTGATCTCATTACTCTGTGTCTTGTCAGCAGATCTGCCGCCCTGCTGCTCATTCAGGCTTGGGGCTAATCATATTAATTGAAATATTAAACATTCACAAAAATGAATTATAATGAACTCCCCCTCGCTCCTCCTCCGAGTCGGTAATTGAAGAGACAGCTGCAGGCAGCAAAATGCTTGCAATCCCTTGCTCAGTTTGTGGTCCCCAGATTGAAGGTTTAGATCCAAGAGGAGAGAAAAGGCCTGGGGGAGAAGAGGTAGGCCCTCTCCTGAAGCAGCCCCTGCCAAGTTGCTGAGGCTCTTTCAGGCTATGGAAGATGGGAGCCCTGTGAGATACTGATGGGGAAAACAATCTTAGGATTCAGAGGCCCATGCTGGGGTGTTTCCTGGAGGAACAGGAGCCTCCAAACTCTAGCGCTTTCACTGTACTTACTACACCCAGCATATTCTCTTTCTTATTCCTCTGAACCCAATGCTAAGCTCACTTCCTCACTCACTCCACTCACTCCATGCCATTGAGTCAGACTGCTTGTCTTTCTCCCATGGAGCAGCTAGTGATTAAAACTGCCTTGCTTACCCATATAGCTTCATGCAGACAACATCACCAGAGTTCTTCCAAAGCTAAGTGACTCTACATAAAAGAATATTGGCTTTATAAAGGAAAGCACTACTCCTGGAAATAAGAAATGTTGAATAACGGTTATTTTCCAAGAAAACCAAAATGTTATGGAGCTATGTATAGACAGAGAAGATAGTGATCAAATACTCACCTCACTAACTGGAGACAGAGAAGAGATAATGTCTGAGTATATATAAAGAAATGATAACTTCCCTGCTCTCAAGAGGCTTCGACTTCAAGTATTAGGTGTTACCTTAATACAGGCCAACATAAAATGCAATAGTGAGTTATAAGATGTAGTTAAAAAAATAACAGTAAATTCTTTCAGTCACTGTTGTGTATTGTCGAGTCAGAACTGACCCATAGCTGACCCTCAAATGGCTTTTCAGAGGCAGTAAATTGAACAGGAAGAGAGTACCCATCCTTCTCTCAAATTATGTACCTTTGCACTGACATTAAGCTACCAGATAACACATCTTAATTCAGACCAGCCACCTTGTAAGTGTTCAAGGTGACAATATGGGACAACACAGCTCTAAAGATTTCACTGGTAGCTTTTCTGGGGCTAGGGGGTGGAAAGACACTGGTCTTGTCCAATCAGAGCTATCACCTCAGATTAACCTCTGCTCCTGCCTGTCAGAATCACTTCTATCAGATGGTACCTAATCTCCTTCTTACTTTGATAACTCTCACTTCTGGAAAGCATATAGACAAATGATTACCACTCTGGTTAGGGTTCCTACAAGGATATCCTACTACTACATTTACCTCTTGTGTTTTTCCCTGGCTTGGCAACTCCCAACATTTCATTTCTCCACCCCTCCACTCCCCATCCTTTCTGGTTTGCTGAGAAGAATAGAAGCAGAACACAGTGAGGTCCCTCCAGGCCAGGAACTACTGCTGAGCTTGTTTCTCTTGCAATTTCCTTGCTGCTTTGTGCAGTTGTTCACAAATCTGAAAAGAAAGCCCCTTCCTTTTAGATTCTTGTCTCTCTTCTGGAAAGCCTCTGCTAGGCCCATCTTTGTGGGAGGAGAAGCACAGCATGTGTGTGCTGAGAGACAGGCTCCTGTCCTCACAGGGCAGTTATTTTCAGCTCTCTGGCTTTATAGTTCACTTTCCCTGTTTAATTAGATATCAGAAGAACAAATCTTGAAGACTAGCATCCTCCTTCTCTTCCTCTACTCAGGAGTGGGAAAAAAGATTTTGAATGTATGAGATGTCCTGAAATAAGACAAAGTGAATCTACATGGAAAAGATAATCCCAAAGGAGAAACCCTGGCAGAGCACCCACCAGGTCCTTTCCCTTTCAGTATCTTTAATCTGAGAAGGTTCTTCCTTGGCCAGCACTACCACCCCCCCCCCCCCGACCCAGACCGGGATGGAGGTGGGGGGAATTTCATGATGTTTAAAAATCCAGGACTTGGAGGTGTGCCCAGAGCAGGGGGCCTGAAGGGTGGCCCCTTTGTTTACAACACACCGGACAGGAATCAGGTGCTTAGTGACCAGGCTGCAGATAGCTTGTGGGGGGCCTGCTAACAATTATCCTGTTGTTGTTGTTGTTGTTTGTTGTTATGTACCCTTGAGTCACCTGGGTCTCATAACCCTATGTACAACAGCCCTAAACCCTGCTCTATCCCTTGCCAATCTTATTGTCTCCGACACTCCTATTCCCATTACCCCAGTGACTGAATCAATCCATCTCATTGAGGGTCTTCCTTTCTTGTGCTGTCCCTCCACCCTCCTAAGCGTGATGTTCCTCTCCAAGGACTGATCCCACCTTGCAACATGTCCAAAGTATGTCAGACAAAGCTTCAGAATCCTTCCTACACATTAAAGAAAAGAAAAGAAAATCCAAGACTTCAGTATCAAGTGTCTGCATGGAGGATGGTGGCTTGATGTCTGTACTGGTGGGAAGAGAAGAAGCTGGATTCTCTTTCTCCAGTACTGACATACTCCAGCTTCCACTCAAATGGGAGATAGGTGATTCGGCCAACTATGCCTTGGAAACCTCCTTTCTAACCTTTGTTCTCCCCACTTCTACCTGCTGCCATCCTTGTGCGTTCCCACTCACAGAGACCCTCTCCATTGATTTGGTTTCTGAGGTTGTAAATCTTTAAGAAAAGCTACAGAAAAAAAAAGGATCTGAGGTTGGTAGGGCCAAGAAGGCGCATTCCACATAGAATCTCTTTTACTCATTGCCAGTTGAATCAGAACCGACTCATAGATGATTTTCCAGCGGGTTTTCAGAAGATGTAAATCACACGTGAAGAGATTACTCATCTTTATTTCACGGAGCAGTTGGTGGGTTTGAATAGTGTCTTTGGATTGGCAGCATAACTCCTCACTAGGCCACCACACGTAATGTCTGTTGTGTACTACTGAGTCGGAAACGACCTATAGCTGACCCTCCACAGCTCACCCTCCGGCAGGTTTTCAGAGGCAGTCAATTGCAAGCTAAGAGACTGCCCATCTTTCTCCTGCAGAGAGCAGTTGGTGGATTCGAACCGCCTGTCTTCGGGATTGCTGCGCAGCGTCTCACCACTAAACCACTACTAGGCCACCTGAGCTCCCTGCAGAGAGTCTAGCCCTATTTTCTTTTCTTTTTTTTTAAAAGGTACTAAGTACATATGTCTGCTCTTCAAAAGTAATTAAAATATCTGTCGTCCTGGTCTACATACAACTTGGAACCTTGGAGGAAGTAATTTCTGGTTGGATTTCAGGTCCTTTATCTGAGCTATAAGAGGAAGGGCTTCCAAGCCTCTCAAGTACTCCTTTGAGACCACTCTGCAATTAACACTCCTGGTTGAACCCCGTGGAAAGGGAGCTTGGTCACCCTCCAGGCTTATCACACTTCTGCTTTAGCGCTACCCTCTTGCGGGGCGGGTAGGCCAGCGACGGAGGTGGGAAGTCTTGGGGGCGGGGCTATCTCGCTGGTCGGGGCTGTGGTCTCGGGGGCGGAGCTACTCTGGCGGCGCTTTCCGTCGCCTTGACAACCGTTAAAATGGCGTCGTCCGGGTGCAGGAAGTCGCTGCCTGAACCCGGGGTGCTCAGTCCCGCGCAGCTGGAGGAGCTGCGCAATATTAAGGTGAACGCGATCCCTTGCCCCATAAAGTGCAGCTCCTCCAGGTCGAAAGCCCCCTGACTGGAAGGATGGCCCCCAATAGGAGGATGGCCCCTTGACCAATAAAGAGTTGGAGGAGTCGAGGAAGAAAGACCCCCCTCCCCCAAGAGGACCCCAGAGCTTGTAGGGCCCTGAACGGAGCCCCACAGGCGCCTGAAAACGCAGAAAACACTAAGAGAAATGGGCCAAACTTCCCTCTAGCTACTGGAAACGACTGTGGTGGTTGTTAGATGTGGAACTGCCTCATAAAATTAAATAGAACTTTCCAACAGTAGGCATTTGACAGTTAATGCTCTTAAGCCCGAAGGAGGAGCAGCGTGAAGATGTTGATAAAATGAAGAACAGCTTAACATTTCTATCATCCCAGGGAAAAACTGGGTTAAAAGTGATATTGCTTCCCCTGCAATTCACGTTTCTAGGGCTTAACTCTGAATTTGTCCCTCCTGGATAATGGCTCTTTGCTTTTGCCCCCAGATTCAGACTCGGATTGCTAACGAAAAATACCTAAGAACACACAAAGAAGTGGAGTTTCTCATAAGTGGTTTCTTCAGGTAAGTGGTTTTCCAGGCTGACCTTGGGCAGCTAGTGGAACTTTTTAACCAAATATTGTTGAGGATGGATGAGTTATTCTTGCTTTCCAGAAATACTACCTTTTGCCTCCACCACCGAGTTGTGATGGCCTAGTGTGTAAAGAGTTGTGTTACCAAACCAAAGACAGGCAGTTGGAATTTACCTTTGGCTTCTCCTCTCGTGTGATTTATGACCTCTGAAAATCCGCCTGAGGGTCAGCTAGGAATGGTTTCAACTGGACAGCATTAAGTTTTTGCTTCCTTTAGGAATTGCTCGCTTGGCCTGTAGAGTGTTGTGCCTCTCTGGTAGTTCAAATCCATCAGCTGCACCAAGAGAAAAAGATGGGCATTCTCTTCCTGTGTGGTTTACAACGTCTGAAAAGCTGCTGGAGGATCAGCTGTGAGTTGGTTCTCCATGATAATGGGTTTTACCTAAGGTGTGAAGGTTAGAAAATAACTTAAGATTCTCCTCTTCTTCTCTCCAGAGGTTTCCATCAGTTACTTAAAAATTTTCAAAAATTTCTAAGGATAGGGAGCTCTGGTGGCCTAGTGGCAAGAAGCTGCACTGCAGTCCCAGAGGTGGTTGTTGTTATGTGCCGCCGAGTCATTTGCGACTCATAGCGACCTTATGTACAACAGCCCTAAACCGTGCTATATCCTGTGCCAATCTCATTGCCCCCGACACACCCATCCCGAGTACCCCAGTCACTGAATCCATCCACCTCATAGAGGGTCTTCCCTAGAGGTACACGGTTTTAATCCACCAGATGCTCTGCCGGAGAAGGAGGGGCAATCTCCTCCTGTACCAGTCAGATCTGATTTGATGACACACACAAAAAGTATAATAAAATTAAAAAAAAACCCACAAAATTTTCCAAGGATAAATGTATACCTATGACAAAAGCAAAAGATTGAAGTTGTCAAGAATTTCACTTAGAAGCACCATCAGGAAATCAGAAACACCTGTAGAAGTGACAGTCAGGGAATCAGATGACTTATTGGCATTGGGCAAATCAGCTGCAAAGTTTTCTAAAAGTGCTAAAGAGGAAGATGTCACTATGTTGGGTTGGGTTTTTTTATATCAACAGTAAGATTTATTGAGCTTTATCTGAGTACAGATGCTGGGACTTGCCCATGGTGCTCTCAATGTACAAAGCCTCAGCATTCTTCCACTTCTTTAGCAGTGAAACCAGAAAGTTGACAGCCAGGTGGATGTTGTAAACAGGTTCATCATCTGTCATCTTCACCTGGCCAACAGCCACTTCCAGACACAGGACCTTTTTCATCTGGAATTTGAGGGTGGACTTCACCTCACCTATTTTTGTCATCAGGTTCTCATTGTGGGTCAACAGAGAAGGGAACTTGCCAGTCTTATTTATCCCTGGACCTAGGATTCTTGGGATCTGCCTGATCAGAGATTAGGAAGCCAAAAAAGGCATCATCCTTCTGGGCCAGCTTTTTGACCAACTTCTTATTCTTGCTGAATTTTTTCAGCACTTTGATATCCATGTGGGGGATATCCACAGCCTTAGCTGATCCCCAAGAACACAGAGAACTTGGGGTGTGGGGTGGACTTAAGCCTGATGGTCCCGGAGAAGCGCTTGTCCTTCTGAGGGTCATAGTTCTTCAAACTGAACTGCAGCTCCACTGTCTTAAAACACTTTGTACATTTGAGTTGATTTCTGTGCAGGACTTCCCACACTGCCTCGTAGTTTGTCGTGAGAGACTTTGCTGCTCATGGTTCTCAGTGTCACAGTAACTGAAAAACAGTGAGGATGCCACTTTAAAGACTATGGAGCTCATGACTCAAGCCATGCTATTTTTAGTTGTCATCTACATGTGAAAATTGGACTATGAATAAGGAATATTGAAGAAAAATTGATGTCTTTGAATATTGTCCTGGACTGCCAACCAAACCATTCTGTCTTGGGGTAAGTGTAGCCAGCAGCATCTAAAGGTAAGGATGGTGGGACTTTGTCTCCTATACTTTGGGCTTGTATCAAGAGGGGCCAGTCCCTGGAGAAAGACATCATGCTTGGTAAAGTAGAAGGTCAGTGAAAAAAAAAGGAATACCCTTAATAAAGTGGGTTGACACAGTGGCTGCAAGAATTGGCTTACGCAGGATTGACTCAAGCTTGGGCAGTGTTTTATTCTGTTCTGTGGAGGGTTACTGCGACTTAAGTGATTCAGTGTCACTCTACTTTTAAGCAGAAATATGGCATTGAAAAACCCAACAGGCAACCATTGAGTTTAGAGCACTATTCTCAACTACAGCTTAAGAAGATTACTAGTTGTTGTGAGGTGCTGTCAAATTGAGTACAACTCGTAGTGACCCTATGAACAATGGATCTGAACCCTGTCCTTCCTGTGCCATCCTCATACTTCCCGACACACTAGAGCCCATTATGGCAGTCACTGTGTCAATCCACCTGGCTGATGGTCTTCCTCTCCTTGCCCACCTGGGCCTTTCCGAGCATCCTGTCCCTCTCCAAGGAATAGTCCCACTTAGTAACATGTCTGAAGAATGTAAGGCAAAGATGATAAAGAGCACTCTGACTGCCCTGTCTCTAAGACATACCTGTTCGTTCTCTTGACTGTCAATGGGATGGTCAGTGCTCTTCTCCAACATCATAGCTCAAAGGTCTCAGTTCTTCTTCTGAAATCCTTTTTCATTGTCCAGCTCTTAGAAGTATATAAATTAATTGGGAAGACTATGGCCAGAATAAGATGCATCTTAGTCCTCAAACTGACATCATTATTCCTTAATAATTTATAGAGGTCCCTAACTGCAGACTTTCCTAGTGCAATAAATCTCCTGATTTCCTGACTGCTGGTACTAAGCTTAAGAGGATTACTAGTAGAACTTTAAAAAAGAAATTCAGATATCTAGTTCTTCCTTTCTGAGAACCTGTTACAGACAGACTCTAGATTGGAAGCCCTGTTCATCTTGGGAGAAAGGAGACATGTTTTCCATCATATCTTGAGGATGTTCTTTCCTTCTCTCCACACCATGTTCCATTCTGTTATTTGCTTGAAAGAACTGAAGGAGGCTCTGGGGACAGTCATGGTGCACCAAAGGATGAAAACAGTGGCGCTGTCTCAGAAACCGTTTGGCCTTGGACACATAAGCAAGACTTAAATAATAATTGCCTCCATTTCCAGGTTCTGTGTGGGAGTCCTACATTAGCAGTGATCACTGGGTTACCACAGCGCTGTCAGTCTTCCATTTCCCCCGCTGGACCAAGAGTTTTAAGCTGGTGGGGTTCTGCTTAGGTCTCCAGTACCCATCCCATGTGTGGCATCTTGGTACAGTTTTGCTTATCTTCCTAACAGCTCTCCAAAAGGTAACTTATTAACATTTTTTACTTGATAGATGAGGAAAGAGACATTTAGAGAGGTGAAATAACTTCTCTAAGTTGCTGAACCGGGATTCTGACCCCCTCCACTGCTTGTGCTGTACACACATGGTCTGCAGACCAGCATGCTGGGGAGCCCAGAAGTGGATGAGTCCTTTGTCTTTCTCGGAAGTAAACCTGGACAGACTTTCCTCTTTCTCCATGTTGCTTTCCCTGAATCTCACTGCTCTAAATATTTCTGAGTGGCCACAAATTCTCAGAAGGCAGATAGGACATGGAGAGAGGGAAAACCGAAATGTGTCCAGTTACTCTGTGAACATTGGTTGATTGCGGGCTCAGGCTTAAGAGAGAAGACAGTTTAGAGGTCCTCTGTTACAGTGAGGCCTAGAGGTCATGCTACCACTCTGTATCTTCTAAATGGAACTGAAAGGTACCCCTGTACCTCCTGATGATAATGACACCTGGTGATTATTCCAATCCAGGTTTGGAATGATTCCTGCAGGACGATGGAGGAGAGAAGTTTAAAAAGCCTGAATTCAGTCAGTGTCTGTACTGTTCACATGCAGCAGGATTAGCACACTTGAATGAGGTGAATTGATGAGGATATTGTTTTAGTCACATGTCAAGGATGGTCCTTTGTCTGTTGGTCCAGAAACAACAGTTGCCAGGGGGAGCCTGATGACGGCTTGGCTACCAGCCTATGGCTGGCCACCCTTGTCTTCCTGTCATCCTCCTCCCGTAGGCCAAGTAGGGCTACCCTATGCGAGATCATTTCTCCTTCTGGGGTTGGGATGATAGAGGAGGAAGTGTTTGAAGCTTTCTTTTTTGTTACTGGTATGTGTGTGTGAGAGAGATGCTGTTATTTCCTGTGGGTGATAACCGGATAAACCAGAACTGCCACTCGTCCACATTGCCTGCTTCCCATGGTTCTTCCAGGGAGACAAGAGAATAAGGGGGGACAGAATCTGGGGCAACACAATTGGCCTTCCCCTGTTCTGCAGATCTTTGCTCTAGACTTACCCTAACCCACGAGGAACTCTGTACCATTCCCTATTCTTAAAGAGTGAGTTCTCCACCCAGTTTTTTTTAGATCTTAGTGATTTTCAACCATTTAGTTACAGCTCTCCATTCCATTCTCACATACCCAGGATGCAGGACTTTAACTTTGAAGCTTAGGCCTGAATAAAGAGTAGGAATCAGACTTCAAGGCATCCAGAAATCTTGGGTTTTAGGCTAGGATCATGATAGCCAAGTGTGAACTTATACATAGGTTTTATTAGATTTAAAAAAAAATCTCGACAGAGGACAACTCTTCCTAAAACACAGAGCAGATCATAACTAATTGTATCTCAGCAGAAAAAATTGTCAGTCTTTCCACCTTAGCTATAAAACCAACAAAAGTCTGTGTACAGAAAGGTGGCGTATTAAAAAATATAAAATCTGGATGAATTTTAGCAAACTGAAAGCACACATGGTACCAGCACCAAACCATGATGAGACAGAAAATTACCAACACATCGGAACCCTCATAATAATAATACACAACATCTTTGCAGTGCTACAAAGCACATATAACCCTATGAGGACATAACGTGTGGTATTTTCAATCAACTCGTACGTGTAAAAGCTGAATGACAAAGACAACCAAAGAACTGATGCACTTGGATTTTGGTGTTGATAAAAAATGTTGAATATACTGTAGACTGCCAAGAGAATAAACAAATGTGTCTGGGAAGAACAGCCCAGTGCTCCTGAGAGTTGAGGATGCCAAGTCTTTATCTCACATACTTTGGGCATGTTACCGGGGGAACCTGTCCCTGAAAAGGACAGCAGTGCTGGCTAAAGCAGAAGGCCGTGAACAGGAGGAAGACCCTTACTGAGGTAGACTGACAGTGGCTATGAGAGGGGGGTCAGTTAGAACAGTGATTGTGAGGACAGTGCAGAACACTGTTTCGTTGTGTTGTACATAGAATCACTGGGAATTGGAACCTATTGGAAAGCACCTGAAACAGACCTTCTGTCGACCTGTCTCTACAATAGTAACCAGTATTGTGACTTCTGATCTCACAGACTAGTTCTGCCTTTTTGTGAGATTCTACAATACACATTTTTTTCAGGCTTGACTTTTGTATCTCACAGGTTCTTAATTTTCATTGCTGTAGATTGTTCCATTGTGGGACTGTATTGTTGTTGTTATTAGTTGATTCTGACCTATCACAACTTCGTGTGACAGAGTAGAGCTGCTCCAGAGTGTTTTTCAGGCGGTAATCTTTGCAGGAGTAGATCACCAGGTCTTTCTTTTATGGAGTAACTGGGTAGGTTTGAACCACCAACCTTTCACCAAGTCAACTGAGTGCTGAACTGTTGGATCTAATCAAGCTTTATTTATATATTACAATTGATTCTGACTCATGGGGACCCTATTGGACAGAATAGAACTGCCCCATAGGGTTTCCAAGGCTGTAAGTCTTTGTGGAAGGAGACTGCTACATCTTTCTCCTAGCAGCTGGCGGGTTTACTGTGGTATACAAGGGCCCCTTAGTATGTGACTGACTATGCCACTCTTTATTCCCATTAAACCTTTTTTTAAATTATTTGAATGAAAGTTCATGTCATATTTGTTTTTAATTCATTGACATACATTTTCTTTTATAACATTAATGACAAGTAACTAATTATAATATCTGTTCAAACTCTTATTGTTTATTGCCTTTCCCTTCACCCAACTTAATGTCTATTATCTACTCATGAACTTTTACTTCCAGCCTTCCCTTCCCTGTAGCAATTATTTTATCAGTATAAGGAAAAGCCTTTCCTTAGCTTTTCATAGTAGTGGTCTTACAGAGTATTTGTCCTTTTGTGACTCACTTATGCCACTCAGCGTAATTTCCTCTAAATTTATCCATGTTATGCAGTGTCCATTCCCATTGTCTTTTGAATTGAATATAAATTTCTCTGTCATTCATCAAAAAACCCCCAAAAGACCACTGCTTTGGCATTTTCCCAGAAAGCTGAACATAGAAATTCCGTATGACCAGCTATTCCACTGCTTAGAACATATCCCAAGAAAATAAAAACTAAGGCTTAAATGGAAACAGCCCAAATAACCAAACACAATCAAATGGACTGAGAAACTATGGTACATTCACGAGATGGAATACTATGCACAATGATAATACTAGGAACAATGATTTTGATAATCACTACCTAACTTGGGAGGGACTGACAAGCATTATACTGTGTGAACTAATTCAGTCTCATAAGGACAAATACTGTATAAGATCATTATTGTAGAAATAGATAACTAGTAAAATGTGTATGAGGATCCAAGGGGGAGGGCTGGAGCAGAGGGGTGAGGAAGGGCAGGGGGGTAATCATAGGGTTGCACAATTTGATGAATGGAAGGAGGTGTGGGTAAAGGAAATGGGAAAGATCCAGTGTAAAAAATAATGTATAGGAACTTTGTAAGTAAACCAGTATAAAATAAAAGATTTATTTAGAAAAAAATTTAAAAAGAAAAATGTATTCCCAGCTTAAAAACAAAACCAAAACCCCCCACTGGCATCAAGTTGTTTAACTCACAGGGACCCTCCATAGGGATTCCTAGGCTGTAAATCTTTACAGGAGGAGATTGCACATCCTTCTCACTCAGAGCAGTTAGTGGATTCAAACTGCTGACCTTTCCGTTAGCAGCTTGATACAATATGAACTATACCACCACGGCTCCTTCCTGACATTGAGGCCTTCCGTGATGGAGTCTCCTTCGTTACCCACTGCTCCATACACATGAGCCGTCCTCCAGCCAGGCTGAACTTGTCTGTTCATCCCCCAGACCTTAGGGGACCTGGGGACGGACTGTCCTTGGAGGCTCTACTGAGCGCAAGGATGCAAAGGCAGATACCACCCTGCTCCCCACTTTAAGGAGCTGGCAGTCTGTAGAGCAGGGACTGGGCCACTTCTATCCTGGGATTTTGCTCTTGCTGTCCCCTGTGTCTGGAATGCTCTTGTCATCAACCCTCACCCACCTTTTTAAGTGTCATGTGTGCCTTAAGGGGTCACTCAATCACTCAAGTGTCAGCTCCTTTGAGGATTTGGGGGTCCTGAGCTCAGTAGCCACTCTTTTTCTTTGATCTCCTAGAGCACTGTTTAATACCCCTTGATCCAGTTTGCCTGCTCCCTTTTACTAGTATGTCCACTTCTTGAGGATGGGGCTGTAGTGATCCCCCCCCCCCACACACACACTCCATCAGTCCCATGGAGCAGAGGGGAAAAGAACTCTTGAAGCTTGGGAAGGAGTGGCGTCCTGCGCTGCGGAAGTATTCCTCTGGTCCTGGGGAAGAGGCTACTGAGGGCTGAGCAGGGCAGACCAGTGGCCCAGAGAAAATACTGAGCACAGCACTGACCTTGGAGTCCCAAGACCTGCACCTTCTCTCCTTTTTGACTAATTTATGAACTCAGGAAATTGACTAATCTTTTGGAGGTTTTGCTTTTTTATATGTAAAGTGAATGCAAAATAATTGCTGTTTCATAGGGTGATAAAGAATGAGACTGTATTTGTGGATATACTTTATGAACCATGGAAGTGTTTGATATATCCAGCTCCCCGCTGCACTGGGACTGCATGCATTCTTATGGCCCCCATCCTCTATCAGCTTTGTGTATTGTGTATTGTCTTTCCTCTGTCCGCTGTGGGGCTTTATGGCTAAATGTACTCGAAGACTGCGGGATAGCATCTGTGCTTCACCACAGGTGAGTCCCTGAGGACCAGCTGCATTCTTCTTTGCCTCTTACTCTTGGCCTGGTATCTCGTGGTCTGAAAATGCTTGATTGACAAACCTCAGCTGTTTTGTGAAGTGAATACCTACTTTTATTTTCGTGTAGGATGCTTGGCTCCATGCCTCAGATCCTGAACTGAGGAGAAATAATGAATGAAAGGTTCTTTATCCAGAGTCCATTACTGCCAAGATGGGAATACCTCAAATTAACCCGCTCCTAAAAGTCTCAAGACACTGCAGTGACAGCACAGCCTACCTTTAATTGTGCATTACCTCCTACCCTTATTCTTAATGTTTTCCAGAGAAATCTTCTTGAAAAGACCAGACAACATCCGAGAATTTGCTGCAAGTAAGTAAGACAGCATCACCAGTTCGGGTGGCTGATAAACGCACTGTAAAAAAGTAAAAAAAAAAAAAGTCAGATGCATAGTTGCTCCTCCGTTTAGTGTCCAAGGCTGTAAATCACACTGGGGGAGATTGCCCACCTTTCTTCTGTGGAATGATTATTGAGGATTTAGTTTCAAACAGGCCCAGAGTTCTCATTGTAGAGTTTGGGGTGCTTCATTCAGTGACCCCTGTGGGAGCTTTGTTCGGAAAACCTCTTTCCTCTATTGTCATTTCCTCAAAATGAGGATCAATAAGAAATGAGGCAGAACTCCCGAATGTGAGGATTGTTAAGAATTTTGAGATCCCCAAAGGAAAATTGTAACAGCTCTTTCTCTGGCAGCATTTTCAATTCTGGCCACACATTAGAATCACCTAAGGAGGTTTTAAAAAACAACTACATGAAAAAGCAACAATGAATGAATATTTTTTTAAAAAGTGAGCTGAGGGAGGTGTAGGGAGGAAAATGCACAACAATAAATGAATGAAAATCCAACTTTTCTGTAAACTTTTGTTAAAATAACAATTTAAAAGAAAACCAACTATAACTCCCCAATAATATCCACAAAATACCGATGCCCAGGCCCCACCCTCAGATTTTTGTTCATTAGGCCTGGGAGGTGGCTATGTCCTGAAAGCATTTCTCCCTGGATCATCCTCACTGCCACAGCAGATGCTGTCTGACTCACGCTAGTTATGGGCATACAGAAACCCTCTTCTGTCATCATTCTGTGAGAGCCTGGCTCCTCTCAGAGATGGAGTAACATCCCAGAGACAGAATTGAGACAAGAATGAAAGTTTGGCATCTTGTGAGGCCCTGAAATGGGCTGGGAGCAGAACACCTGGTGACCTGGCAAATCCCTTAGCCCTCTTATGCCCTGTGTATGTCAGGAAGCAGAGGCACAAGCAGTACAGGAGTCACAGGGGACGGGGACAGAGTCACAGGGTCTGGCAACTGTGCTCACAGCAGCTCGGGCAAGGACAGTGAGCTTAGGATTGTGGCATCTCATACTGTGTTGTGAAGCCAGGCCACTAATGACAGCCCTGCCAAGGGATCTTCACTTTGAGCAGAGTAAAGCTCTCCCTCCCGAGCTTTTCCCCTGGGGTTTAGAGGATTTCTTCCTTTTGATTCTTATCCCAGACTATTTCACGGATCCAAGACTTCTCAGCAAGATTCACATGCAGCTAATTGCAGAAAAGAAAGTAACATAATTAACAAAACCATGAGGCTCCGTTGTTGCGAGAGACCACAAAGAATCCAGCTTCAGGGTAGGTGAGAGGCATTTCTGCTCTTCTGAAATAAGCCCTAGCTTCTTGGTCCAGGGTGTGGGAGAAACCAAGAGGAGCCAGAAAGGAAGCCAAAGCAGGTGTTTTCTTGACCCTACTTTGCAGCAGTGAGGATTGTGAAGAGTAGACAAGGGTTTGTTCAGCCTGTCAGTAGCAGGAAGAGACATCTGTTTTAACTAGTGAAATGGATGAGGAGTGTGGCAGAAGGAGTAGTTCAGAGAGAAAGAGAGCCAGGGGGGAATGGGGTTGGGAAGAGCTAGTACCCAGCTGTGGCTCTGGGAAGGTCCCTGCAGATGGTCTTGTCCTTGGTGGAGGGATGCAGGGACTTCCTGCTGCTTCTGGTGGCCTGGGAGCTGCAGCTCCCACTCCTTGCATCTTGGGTCGGTACTTGCCTGCTCCCTTTTGCCTTTAAACCAGGCTGTGGCCATCACGTATTTTCCAGACAAGAGGACTCTGAAACAATTCTGAAGGCTGGCATTTTTTTCCCCCTTTCTTTTTAATGTGAGGTGGGGAAAAGCTACACTCTTAATTTAGCAGAACCATTTCTGTTTTGCAGGGTCATCTGGAGCAGGAGGGCCTTGTTGCCTTAAGTGTGGATTTCCAAGCTACCTTGGGCTCTGTCCACTGTCAGCCTTTTAAAGACACTTGTTACCAACAGTATTTCCTGGTCTGTCTCTCTGCTTTGTTTCACTCTGGAGGAGGAAGATATCCTTCATGGTGGGGGCTGCTCTGTCCCTACACTGATTCTGAGGCAGCCGTGTGGCCTCAGGCCTCTCAGCGAGGTCGGTGGGTAGTTACGTTGCACTAAAACCCCCCCTCATTCCCACAGCTAAGATAGGCTGGGAGGACACAGAGAGGTCCAGGGACCCTGGAGGAGCACAGCTAGGCATGAGGGGCGGGAGCAGAGCCCGCACGTCAGTGTGAACGGGTGGCTTGAGTTTTCCTTTATCTTGCCTTCTGGGTTACTATCTGGAGGGTGCTGATTAACTTTTATCTCCACAGAAGCTATAATAGGAAGAATTGGTCTGGAAGAGCAAGAGAGAATGAGATTAACACAGAAAACCAATCTGGGGGTCATAAATATTGTCAAATTAGAGCCTAACATGTGACTTAGGAGGTTGTGGACTTTATTCTTAAGAGGTTTTAGGAATAAGCCAGCTGTCCATCCATTTGCTTTTCAGCTCAGATGGGCTGGTCGAGTCCTTTCTCAGCCTGGGAGCCGTGGAACCTTACATGGGTCTGTTCGATCTGCTCCCCAGCCCACAGGCTCCACTGGGGAAGAAACCTCTCACCTTTGTGTCTACATCCCCATGGCAACAGAAGCACAGACTAAAGCAGAGATTGTATTTATTTCCCTTTCTGCCTGCCTTGCTCCTAGCTGCCATCACCTACTGTAGTAGAAAGGGCAGCAAAACAGAGTAGTAGTAAAAAGCTGCCAAATAAGCTATGGAATAGGAACCTGAGGAGGCATTCTGAAGGCTTTCCAAATCACATGCAGCGGTTCTGGCCCTGACAATGAGGTAACCTTGTTTAGAAAATCCAAATGAAAACCTCCAGAAGAAAAATAACCCCCAAAACATAACTCCTGAGAACCTCTGCTGTGAAGAACTGTGTTAAAGGCTCAGAACCTTTCCTGGGAGAAGAAACAACAGCGATCTGATTCAGTGTTGCAGGGGGATAGCAGCTCCTTCTTAGGGTTCCTGGTACAAACAAGAACTGAAGATATATTCCAAAGGTTCCCCTTCCTAACGAGCAGATTTAACACTTGGTCCTATTGCTTTGTGGTGCTTTGTAAGGCACTGTGCTAGGTCCTAGGGAAGGCACAGAGACTGCCCTGCCTCCTCCTCCTGGTCTGAGACAATGAGCTTCTCCCCCACATCCTCCTGTTTCTACTGTCCTGGGCTTAAAACAAACCCAACCCAAACACACAGCTATTCCAGTGAATAGCAAAGGCTGAACTGCCCCATACGCTTTCCAAGGCTGTAATCTTTGCTGAAGCGACTGTTGCATTTTTGTACCTCACAGTGGCTGCTGGGTTCCAGCTGCCCACTTTGCTTGCAGCTAAGTGTTTACAACTGTGCCACCAAGGTCCTGTCCAGGCCTTAGCATACAGTATTTCCAGTGTCTATCTGAATAACATATTGAATGAAAAACTCCTTGAGGACAAGGACCAAATCTAGAGCCAACACTCACTTTTGAGCCCCAGCTTCTAACAGGTGTCTGCACCCAGCAAATGCTTAGTAATCATTTATGGAGGAGTGTATGTGTACAATATCAAGTGGCCAGTCACATCATACATTATTAGTTGCTGTAGTGGCAATTGTTTACCCATGATGATAGAACATGATAGTACCTAATAATAGAGGGAGGCAGAAGAGAGCTTCTCATTCCTGCCTGAGAAAGTCAGTCTGGACAGTGATGGGCAGAAAAGGGTGAGCCATCACGTGAAGAGGAGGACAGAAGAGGCCTGGGTCATCAGGGGACCTGAGGGGCTTCTATTCTGCTGAGGAGGATGATACGGACAGACCTGTTTGTTACCTGCCCTTCCATTCTCAATACCCTCTTTCTTCCCTGCTAGCAGAACAGCAGTTTTATTCAAGGCAGCAATGGGTCTATCCCCAAGTCGTGGGACGTGGTGGGTGGAGCCAACCACCACAGTCACATTCTCTGATTCCCTAGATCCTGGCAGCTTGAACAGTAAAAGTACACTGAGAAATTCTAGGAAAACTACTATTTTTTTTTAAAATGAGGGTAGAAAGGACAGATTCAGCTGGTTAGTCTTCCCCCTCTTTTGATCTGAACCTAAATATGTCTAGAGCTGAGTAGGCATCTTAAGACCATGAAGTGACAAGTATGTTGGTGGAAGCCAACCTGCTAAAATGGAAGAAAGGATCGACAACCAGTGTCCTCCATCCTGCCATGAGCACTGACAAGGGTCAAAGACTGCGAGTGGCCATCAGGGTACAACTATTGATCTTTCCTCATCTAGAGCAAAGAAGAGTGAAGAAAAATACCCATGGGAGTAGTCAGTCTAAGGGACTAGAGCATGACATGACCCTCAGCCTCCACCACCCTGAGATGAGAGGATGGTGCATGACACCACTATCTACCACTCAACCACACTGGAAGGTCCTGGTGAAAAGAAGGAAAAATTGGCAAGCTCTGGTGGCCTAGTGGCAAGGAACAGCACTGCAGTCCCAGAGGTGAGCTGTTTGAATCCACCAGATGCTCTGCTAGAGACGGAGGGACAATCTCCTCCTGTACCAGTCAGATCCAATTTGATGGTACACACACAAAAATAATATTTTTTTTAAAAAAAGAAGAGGGGAGAAATGTGGAACAAAACTTGGAATCATAAAAGGCACCAGCTAGATAGAAGGGCACTGCTGGCCCCTGGTCACCCTGCAAGCCCAGAAGCTCTGTGGCTCAACTTTCAGCAAAAGATTCAAGATGACCAATTAGATTGGGGAGGTGTCACTAAGAATAACCAACTTCAGTAGATCAAAAGGGCAGCAGTTACCAAGGGATAAAGCTCAGAGACAAGAAAGGGCAGAGGAAACACAAGGCGGAAGTGGGCAGAGTGCTGTCACATAGTAGGGCAAACAGCGTCACAAAACCAAAAGTGTGGATTACCAGGGAGCCCTGGTGTTAAGAAGCTGCACTGCAACCCCAAAGCCCACCAGCTGCTCTGCGGGAAAGGATGGGCAATCTCCACTTGGGCAATTCAATTATGGGTAGGTTCCAGCTCCACAGCAAACACCACCACCTCCCAGGTTGATAATGGCAAAAGTATATGAATTACTGAATAGAAATTAGAAACTTTCATCCAAATCACAATAAAAAGTTAAAAACAAAACCCAAAAACCAACCAACCCCCATGCCAAACTGAGTGGCAGAGACGACATATCAGAAGACACTGGAGCATGATGGCAGCTTTGAGCATCTGAAAAGCCTAGCAATCACCTAACTTCAGGCTTGTTGATTAAGTAGGAAAAACAAATATGTGTTTTGAAATCAGAGCAGAGTTTAATCCACCACTTACTAGGTGTGTGAGCTTGAACAACTCACTTAACTTCCTCAAGTTAGAAGAATTAAGATTCTTATAAAAGTTGTAGTAACCATCTCCCAAGGTGTTTGGAGTTTGAAAGTAGACAGTGCATGGCACATGAAGGTGTTGTGGGAGGGGCGCCAGGGTGGGAGAAGAGTCCAGACAAGGAGGCGAAGGCCAAACTGCAAAGGGCACCATGTACGAGGCACAGGAGATGGAAGTTTAGTTTTTTATTGTGTAGAAGAGTATTGAATATATCATGGATCACAAGGAGAACAAACAGGTTCGTCCTAGATAGAGTGAAATCAGGCTGCTCCCTAGAGGTAAGGATTCTGAAGCTCTGTCTGACAGACTTTGAGCATGTTGCCAGGAGGGACCAGTCCTTGGAGAGGGACATGATGCTTGGGAGGGTGGAGGGACAGTGTGAGAGGAAGATCCTGTGAGATGGATTGACTCAGGGACTAGAGTAACGGTGGTGGGTGTGTTGGGAGACAATGAGGTTGGCATAGGGTAGAACAGGGGTTCAGGGCTGTTGTACATATGGGTCGCTATGACACAATTGACTCAGTGGCACATAACAACAAAATATAGATCAACAAAGAATTTTCAACTAAGGGGAGTTCATGAAAAGATTTGCATTTAGGAAGTGTGATAGTGTGGAAGCCAAGTTAGAGAACTAAGACTAGAAAGACTTGGGCGACAGTCAGTCCTGAACACCACTCCTGACTCCTGCCTCACCTTCACTGCTCCAGTCATTTCCCTGCTGCTCTCTTGCCCATTATGTCAGTTGAGAATGTCTTTGGCTGCAAGTAACAGAGAACCTAATTTTCAGTGGCCTATACAAATAATAGGGAGCCACCTTCTTACCTGCAAAGTA